ATGTCATATGAATACTTCATCGCTGTGGTGCTGTTCGAGTTGCATGATTACATATCAACTTGTCCTGTTTCTTTATGATTCAAAGGAACTCTCTCGCACAGACCCATTAGCCTCCAAATAAGATAACGAAAAGCGAAAACTTGAATAATAATTTTGAAACTAAAACAGTCATTTGATGCCTCTACTTGTGGTATGAGAGGCCAAGCCTTATTAAGAATTCCGGAAACAGCAAGTCTTAGCACTTCGTAATTAGTATAGTGGGTTCGGTTGACTCTTCATGTCTATGCAGCTGCATATCACTAGTCAACGTCAGTTCTAGTTGCCTGCGCCAGGCTAGGGCTTTATTTCTATGTAAATACATATTATCTATTCACATTGGGTCACATGTAGTACTTTTTTCTTTCTAACCTATATTTTGTTATTAACTCATTTCAGTGAGAGACTTCTGCTTGTACGCATAGGTGACTGTTGTCTTATGTACTATCTAAAGCGTAAAGAGATATGTTTAGTCAAAATCATTTGTTTCTGTTCCACATACCTTTCGTTTCACGTTTGCTATATACGAAACTGCAAACACCAGTTTCAGTTTCACTAATGAATAGAACATCAACATAATTACTCAGAGCTAGCCTTGAAAAGTTGAACAAGTGTTTCTTTATTTATACAATATTCTGCTATTCATGCTGTGCCTTTTCCAGATCCACAGACGTTTCGAGTATCATTAGCTCCAAACAGTCTAATCAATGGCAAGACAAGCGGTGAAAGGAACTGATCGACCACGAGCTCAGTGGTATTGGAAATCGAGTTACGCTCCATAGTCAAGAAGTGGAAAAGAAGAATGGACAAAATATTCTGATATCGAATCCGAGATTATCGAAGTAGCATTCAACGGGAAAAGTAAAACAGAACTAGCTGAACTAGATAATTATTGGCTCAATCTCAAGGATTCCGTTCAAATCAGTAAATCAGATCAAAATAAACAACGGCCGATAAAAAGAGTTCTAATTAAGAGAAATGAAAATGAAGGTTTAAGAGAACAAAGATTCTGTCTTCCACAATCACTGAAACCACTCAATCACGATCGCGGCACCGACGCTTATACTTTTCTTTCACACTGGAAGAGAGGTAAGCAACTTTCTGATGCTGAGATAGTAGAGCAGGCAGCGCTTGGAATAATCCTCGAAGGAAAGCAACTCGACCAATACCGTGAATCACAATGGATAGCTGACAAATTAACAGCCGTGAAACACCACAAAAGAGAAGAAATTTATAACTGCACTCTAAAAAAAAAGGTATTTCAAAAAAACCCTAAAAAGTATTCTCCATTTGAGAAAAACCAAAAACAAGGTATAACCACACGTGAAAAAAGTTTAAAGGGTATAACCATTTGAAACATATCATAACTGTTTAAAAGTTTCCTATTCTTATCGAAAAACTAATTTTCGTTTTCTAAAACACGGCTAAATTATATTCTGAAAAACGGTTGAGGTTTCTTCATGTCACAAAAAAACCTTTCAGGTATTTTAAAATACCAAATCAATTCAGGATTTTTTAAATCACGGCTTTTTCATATTCTCAAAATCCCAAAGGGGTTTTCTGATAAAAGTAAAAAACGTTTAAACAGTTATGATATGGTTCAAATGGTTATACCATTTTTCGTATTTTATAATACCTTTATTTTTTAGAGAGTGCTGCATTATGCCATGGAGATAAATCTTGAGGTATGTGCTTGCTCATGTGCTTGAGAAAAAAAGTTTCACTAGGTAGGAACTCTTCATCATTTTCAGAAACTAGAGAATGAAATGCAAACTAGAGAACAAATTCTATTTTAAATAAATGGAGAATTTTTTTTTATATTTTATTGAATTTCTACATCAAATAATGCTAGAAACGACAATCATTTAGAGTCAATAAAAAGACGAAAATATTTTTTTACTTCATTCACCAAAAGGAAATCAAAATCAAAAGAAACCTAAACATTTATCACAAAATAAATGCTAACTAAAAAGGAGAGATACAGCAAAAACGAAAATTTCTCATTGTTCATCTTTTTCAAAACCAACCCTATTCTGAAACTGAACTGAGAAAACCATCGGAAAATCTACTTAATTATTGTTTAAGCATATAGATGAAAATTTAAAACATTTCTTATCTATTAAACCCAATTAAATCGCTAAAACCAAATAATAAAATCGGGAATCCTTTGATCTTATTAAATTTTTCAAAAAGCGAGGAGCTACTCTTAAACTGAAGTACAGTGTGCAATTTTTGCTTTCTAAGAATTCACATCAGTAAACAGTCTAAAAATGTCGTGTGATATACTATAAAAGAATGCAGATCATATTCATCGTCACTATGCGTACCACTTTTTGTTTTATTATTTAAAAACGCTTCAAAAAAGGCACCTTTCATGCCTACTAGTTTTAGTTTCTTTACAGATACTCAAAGATTGGAACACTGGAAACAACAATAACAGTTTATAATGAATATACTTAAACTGATGTCGCTCATGATCGGTTACAAATATATCTGTATATTAATTTAATCAAAAAAGTGAGAAATTCTTTATCATCTTCTGATTGGTGATAAAGACTCATATTACTTTTTTCTGAAAGGTTAATCTGTCGTAAAATTTTATGAAATGATTTATTTGGAGATTATCGCAGTATGGTCGCAGCATTCTCAGATTGTCAGAAAAAATATTTCCTTTATATATTTGTTTACTAAGAAAAGTAGTATTCTATGAAAGAAAGATGAACTAAAGTAGAAGTGTAGATCTATAAGAGGAAATTTGTCATTTTTCCAACTAGTTTATATTTATGTCTTTTCTTCAGATTAACTTATGTTTTAATGGAATAGTATGTTTGTAACAACGAATACAACTGATTTGAACTTCCAATTTGAATGGAAAACATGAATGGATTCATTTTCCTCATACATTGATACAGAAATCAAGTATAAATATCTCAATACAATGAACTGATTAGCTAGCTCTATTCGAAGATGGTAAATTACTTGCTCTTTCCTGGTAAATCCTGTTATTTTCCTGAGAATGATGTAAGATACGCATCGAAAGCTCGAAAATTAATCAACAGTAAATTATATTTTGTATAAAAATTTCGCTATGTCCTTTGTAGCAGTTTTATACTCAACGTTCTCTCCTTTCCTTTGTACTGCTTTATCTTCAAGTTTCTTGCAGAATTACGTTGTTTGATGGAAGATGGAAGCATCAATGGTCACGTTATCTATATTTATTTAGATCGATGTGAACTGTGTAACAACATTAGCACTAATTCTTATGAAAACCAGTGATTGGAAGAAATATCCTCTTACATTTTGACAACGGTTATTCGATTTACATGTATGTTTGTCAAATAATCAATACGAAAAAGCAAAGTATATTCTACCAAACACAATAATTCAATTATCGGTTTCTATTTTGTTTTTCTGCTATGATTGTTTTAGAGTCGCGTCAAAAGCATTGAAACCATTCTCGGCATATAAAACATATTTTATATTTTTTGAACTTATCAAGAGATTTTTTCTATTCATGTTTAAAGTAGTTCTTTTATATTCAGCGTTTTAACCTGTTCAATTAGAATAACGTTTTATATTTTTTCAGCGTGTTTTTGCCGAATTAACAACCACAACTCAATCTACACCTATTATCATACCACAGCTACTTTATCCACCTCCACAACATATCATCATCAACGAATCACTTTTTATATGTTCAAATGATTCTTATGTAATGGAAAAATGTACAAAACCATTGAAATATTTTGAATTTATTAACATATGAAAGTATGACTGATTTATTTCATGTACTACGTTTTATTACAATTGATTCAAAATCCGGAACAGTAGTTGAAAAATTCTATTAACTCATTACCATAATTTTGTTGTGTTTTTTGTTCTTCAACTGTTGTTTGTTTTTTATACTTTCGTTTGTTGTCTTTCTTTATCTATTTATGTGTGTATATCTATATAGTGTGTTAAATAGAACTGTAAGAAAACAAGTTATTTTTATTGTATGTACTATCTCACAATAAAAACATAATTTTCTCTCATTTGTTTTTATATTCTTTATAAAATATTGCATATAAAATATGTTTTTTTGTTTTTTGTTCCGTTTTAGTACGCTGTCTAGTCTTTAACTGATATTATTTAATAAACAATCATAACGTTCATAAAGGAAAAAAAACTGTCTACAGAATTAAAAATAGATTAAATGCAATAATTGATAAAAACTCTGTCAACATTTTCTTTTCATCATTTCGTTCAATATCATTTGAACTCGGCTCTATGTTGAACTTCTACTTTTAAAGTCGTGGTTGTTTTGTTTTATCTTATCGACTAAGGAAAATATTGTCTCTTTTGAACGCTATATGCGTGTAGAGATATTAAATAGCTCGCTGGTAGGGTCCACACTAGTTATAAGTAAGTACATAGACGAAAACATCAGCTTTTGTTTTATCAGTTATCATTCTATCAATTTTTTTTCTGGGAAAGACTACAAAAACTATGTGAAAAACTGCAGAATTATGCCGCCTATGGGAAGATTTTGTCGAAGTTTCACGACGTTGGGGTCGTGCAGCTGCGTGCAACATCAAATGCGTTTTCATCTGTGAACTTTTTATTATTTTACACGCGTTCATAAGCGAGAATTTCTTTTCACGTGTGTCTACACACCGTCTTACGACTTTCACTGGTGACCACGTGCGAAAAATATGACGTGAAAAGTTTACGTGTTGTCACAAGTGGAATATATTTTCACGCGTGCTCACATCCCATTTTATGATTTTCACGATGCGACCACAGTTCATTTCACGATATTCACGAGTGTACACGCCGTTTTTCTGATGAGCGAAATAAAAACAGAATTTAATTTGGCTGTATATATGATTTTCTTAAGTTTATATTAAAACATGTTCTGTATTTATTTTATAGTCTAGTTTATGATTATCTTTATTTATAGATCAAATAGCGGAGAAGGAAGCATGGCTGGTCTAAGTAAAATAGCTCCCGTTTATCGACACGGCTTTATATTAGCATCAAGTATGGCTTTGAGTTATTGGTGGACATTAAGATGGCTAAAGGCTCGTTCGAAAAAGTAAGAAATGTATAGTATTATATTTTCGTTTTATCATTTTATATATTTTCATGTTTTTAGACTTTTAACAAAAGATGTCAATTCGGCTATCGGTGCTGTAAGCTTTTGAACAAAGAAAATAAAATTAGACCTGAGATAAAAATTGTTTTGTCTATCTGTTTTTAGAGACTTATGAAAAAAGATAAAGTTGCGGTTGATAAAAAATTTCTACGGTAAGAACAGTGAATATTTTATTAGAATCTTTCATCTACTATTCTCTTCATTTATACATCTATTTTTTTGTTTTTGCCTAGAAATATTTTAATATTATTGAAAATACTCGTACCAAAACTAATCTCAGGCGAGGTAAAAGAATAAAATAATGAATGTCTAAATTTTGTTTGTTTTTTCTGTAGACATTTTATTTAGTACTTATTGCTTGCGCTTTAATCGCAAGAACATATGCAGACGTCTGGATGATTCAGAACAGTACTGCTGTGGAAAGGTATAATCAATGTAGAAATAAAGTTGTCGTTATGCTCATAAGAGTGTTTTTGATTATATTCTAGTGCCATTATTGGTCGTAGTTCAAAATTATTTAAAGCCAGTCTCTCAAGATTTGTTTATGCAATGCCAATGGTATACGGTTGATGTATCAATTAAATAAGAGAGATAAATAGCGTTTATTTTATTTGTTTTAGATTTCATTAGTCAACAACGCCTTAAAAGTAAAAAATGTGTTTAATAACTTCTTTTTCTTTTCTATCGATGACATTTCTTAGTCTAAAATGTTTTCCTTGTAAAATCAAACCGAAATCGTAAGAAAAAAGAAAACCAGAAAAACATTTCTCTCATTTTTGTTGTATTTAGTATGGATTAGACGAATTAAAATTGCGATTTCGATGCCGTTTAACGAAATACTTGTACGATCAATATTTAAAGTATGTTTTCTCTTCTATTTGCTTGTTTATTACCTATCTTTGTTATACTATAACTTTTTTGCAGAGGTTTTACATATTATCAATTAAATAATTTGGATAGTCGCATAACTAATGTAGATCAGTTGTTAACCCAAGATGTTGAAAAATTTTCAACTTGTATTGCGGATTTATACACGAATATTAGCAAAGTAAATAATAATATACTTTTAAAGAAAACGAGAAGTTAACTATGTTTGTTATTTTAGCCATTTTTAGACATTATCATTTTTTCAAAAAAGCTCACAAGTTCAATTGGGCCCACTGGTCCATCCTATATGGTTCTTTATCTCTTATTCTCTGGATTTATTTTGACAAGGTTAGAATTGATAAGTGAATAAACGACAACATAAATTTTGATTTAATTTTATTTCAGATTACGACGGCCCGTCGGTATGATGACCGTTACTGAGCAACAATTTGAAGGCGAATTTCGTTATGTCAATTCGAGATTAATAACGAATTGGTAAGAAAGAATGATAGAATGCTTTCTGTGACAATATGCATTCATTCCTCTTGGATATATTTTGAATTTGGTTAAACTGAATAGAAGTATTTTAAGCACATAAACATTTTTTTTGTTTTTAGCGAAGAAATAGCATTTTATAAAGGAAATCGACGTGAACAAATAAATATTCGTGATAGTTTTGATCGTTTGGTAAATTATATATATATATTCTTTAATTGAGTTTGTTGGGCTATGGAGTCCGTTTTTTATCGTTCAGATTAAGCATTTGCGTAGTTTTATTATATTTCGCATGTCAATGGGTTTTATTGATAATATCGTTGCTAAATGTAAGTTCATTAATGCTTTATAATTTTCTATCACTTTTCGAATTACATTTTAGATATTTCAACATGTGTTGGCTACTATGTTGTTTCAAGACCATTTTTAAGTCTGGCGGATAATAAATATGCGAATGCATCACAAAGTGAATTATTAGAAGTAAGCTACAGAGATTAGCTGAATTTTTATCTTATCTAATTTCTTAAATCACAAATTTTTGTTACTATATAATGTAAACACCAGAAAACAATTTTTAAAGACGTCTCGTTATGAAGAAAAGCCTTTGTTCTATCAGACTATGTATAATAAAATTTACTAAAAACTAAAAAGATTGAGCTTTTTGATCTTTTCACGTCAAAAACATGAAACTTATAGAGTTTCGAAAAATGGTGTGAAAAGATGGGATTGATCTTATTTTGTAGCCGAGATTTTCTTCTACATCAGATTATGTTCAACACAAAAATTTTCTCAAAAAAGAAAACGGTACTCTTAAAGCTAGTTACAACATAGCAGCGTTTATTTCCAATTTATTGAAATGAATTTAATCGTCAAGGTGACTAAGAGTATATGAACTTTCTCATTTAAAGGATTATTATACATCTGGTCGAATGTTGGTAAAAATGGCCGAAGCTGTCGGCAGATTGGTTTTGGCTGGAAGAGAAATGACAAAATTAGCAGGGTATGTTACGTTCTAGTTGTAAATAAGTAAATATTATTAGAAACATCCTTTTTACTTGCTCATCGTATTTTTATCTTAGATTTACCACACGTGTTACTGATTTGATGACCGTTCTACGTGATATTAATCAAGGAAAATATGTGAGAACAATGATCAGTAATGCCAGCACAAATAATAACAATATTAATCAGAATAGTAGTCAACCAAAACTTGGTTTGGGCAAAATCCAATTACAAGATCGAATTATTAAGTATGTCATTTGTATTACATTTCTACTAATATTTAGATTTACAATTATATTTCTATTTCAGATTTGAAAACGTTCCATTGATCACTCCAAATGTAAGTTATAAAGTATTATTTTCGTTATAAAATTCTACTATTTAAGGTTGTTTAGGGCGATGTATTGATTGAAAGTCTCAATTTTACTGTCAAATCTGGTCAAAATGTTATTGTCTGTGGACCGGTACGTTGAAAGTGTTGAAGGCAGCTCGAAATGAAAGTTTACGTGGATTTTGTAATTTATTTATTTCAGAATGGTTGCGGAAAATCAAGTTTATTTCGAACAGTTGGTGAAGTAAGTATAGCTACTAATGTCGGAAGACGATTTATGTTATTTTTCTGTATTTTGTTTTTTAAAGCTATGGCCGATTCATGGGGGTACTCTGACGAAACCGAGTGCGGGACAATTATTTTATATTCCACAAGTAAGTTTATTTGATAAAAACCACAGTAGACTGACTATTTCTAGTATAGAAAAAAAATCATGTCAGAGCTATTCAGAAAACGATAATGTTCGTGAGTTATTAAATGTAACGGTCCATATTTGCTACTAACGTGTTGAATGTGATAATTATATTCTATCGTTCTTTTTATTTTTTAAATTCAGAAGCCATATATGACAATCGGAACGTTACGTGATCAAATAATTTATCCAGATTCCAGTGATGATATGCGTCGCCGTGGTTTAACAGACAAAGATTTATTAGAATTGTTAGAACGAGTTCAATTAACTTATATACTACAACGTGAAGGTGGATTTGATGCAACACAAGATTGGATGGATGTACTAAGTGGTGGAGGTATGTTGAATCAACATTGAGAGTTTTAATAAAAATTTTACGAAAATTATTTGTTCTTTTCTCTTAGAAAAACAAAGAATTGCGATGGCTCGAGTGTTTTATTCAAGTAAGTACAAAAAATATTATTGTGAAAATTATTATTTAATTCGTCATTTCCATTTAGAGCCGCAGTTTGCAATTCTTGATGAATGCACCAGTGCTGTTTCGGTAGATGTCGAAGCAAATATGTATGAATATTGTAAAACGGTAAGAAACGATATTTATCATTGATAAAAAAATATCAGAAAGATTTTTGTTATATTACTTCTAGGTTGGTATTACATTATTCACAGTCTCTCATAGAAAATCATTGTGGAAACATCATGAAGTAAGTTAGGTAATTATTTTCACTGTATTAATCGAATCATTTCTGTGTTTGTTCTAGTATTGCTTGTATATGGATGGCAGGGGGAAATATGAGTTTAAACATATTGATGAAAATACTCTCGAATTTGGATCTTAAATGTCTTATTTTTTTTTTTAATGTACTCTCTTTATGTAGGAGATAAACAAATTGACTTATAGTTGAGGACGGATACGAACATAAGAATTCAAGCACAAAACTTTCTACTGTGCAGGATGTGGATGGGAAAAGACAGGCTCGTGTACTTCTCTCGTATTTTGTTTTGCTTTCTTTTATACTATTGGTTCGAAACTCCGTGAAAATCTTTTTTTTTTGTTGTTTTGTGTGATGTACTTTGTTTTATTTTTTGAATTCAGACTCCACTCGATGATGTGTCAGTCAGCGTTTGCGACTGATTCTTTTCTGTAATAAACAAAAGTATTTTTAGTACTACTGTGCTTGTTTATAATTTATTTATGCATATTTTTCCGTGTCACAATATTTAGTATAAAAAATTTATTTCTAAAGGCAAATGTGGCCAGAAAGGTTGTTTTAAAAAAATGCCAGTCGTTTGATCAGACGAAAATTATAAAAAGAAAAAATTCTAACAGAAGAGAGTCTTTGGTGATTTATCGAAGAGTATTAGATTAAAACATTTTTACTGAGAGTCTTCTATAGGAAAAAAATGTTTAATTGTCTACCATCCTCTGTTAAAATATTTCTGTGTATGCCGCGCCATTATAGTCTTTATATAGTCACGTCTGCGTGAAGAGTAATAAGAGTTTACTTATGATCTCGTATAAAGTTCGTTCGATAAAATCTCAAATTTGAAAAAAGGCAAATGTACTACTAATCTTAAGTGGGACAAGAGGGTTACTTTTTTCCGAATTTTAACTATTTCAGGTAAGCTTATCAGTGAATAATGATAGTGCGTGTGTATATGTGTGTGTGAAAAGCAGAATAATGATTTAGTTATTACTTCAGTACCTTTACATGCAAAAAAAGTTTTTGTCAGATTATTTGAATATTCATCGTGTGTTAAAATCAAGATTCCACCTGTGCGTAATAACAGTTTATTGTTGGATTAAAAAGTTCTTGTCATAAGAATATGATAAAAGAGATGAAACGGTTTCCATTAGAAATCGGTCTAATACGATATTTTGAGCGAATCAGGAACTACTAGAAATACTTTTCCATATTTCTGATGTTTAAAACTTGGCTCTGGCTTACTGGAGTAGAAAAAACAAGTTTTGTACTTTTGGTGATTTTTCGTATAGGTGTCATTAGTGTGAATGAGTTTCCGCAACTTTATTTTTACTTAAAACCACACAAAAATGTTCCTCTTAATATTCTGCATCTATGGTGTATGCAGCTTTATGCATTTCCTTTTCTAAACCACAGGGTGAGTTCTCCAAATAACCTTGTTTTTTCAGATAAAATTCGTTTTTCTCGGTCTAGGAGTATATAGAGAGAATATACTTTGTACTCATGTCCGTCTGCTATGTAAATATTGCCCACTGTGGAAAGCACATTATCCCGAACGTATCACTACATCTGCTTTTTTTCTGAGAAAATTTTTAATAAAATTTTTTTATTCGAAAACCGAATGTTAAGTATGCTGTTCGACTCAGTTTTATGTGCTGATCTCAAATATTTTATGATTTTTGCTTGAAAATATAAGGGAAGTGAAAAGGGTGCAAAATAAGTGAAATGATGAAGGTCAGAGCTGAATGTGTAATCTTTCTGACAAAAGTTTCACATACCTTTTGCGGCACCATAGGTTTCTATGACTACTTTTTCCTGATTATGATGGCAGATTCTATAGTACAAAAGGCGACCCTTAGTTCGTCACCCTCACCGCCCTACGTATGTTTCAATAATGGATGCTCATTCTCAACAAATTTCCAGAATCACACAATAGTTAACCTTCATAGTTTGATTGGATAGTCTATAGCCAGCAAAGAATATTTAGTGCCAGTTTGAAGTTGAAATGATGTTCCTAGAATGAGTTATGCATTTTTTTTGGAAGGGGCCTCATATCTCAGACCTCATTTCCAGCGAGCTCGATGGTAGAATAGCTGTATTCCAGTATCCACTAGCAGCTTCCTCTTTAAATTCATATCGTAGACAGAGGAGAATAAGGGCTACATTTTGGTAAAAAGGAACCATTTTCATCTTTTTTGGATCAGGAGTTATTAGCATTTTGTGGAAAAGTGAAACGCTTATATCTCACAAACCATCCAGTAGAAGAGGCCTAAACTTTGTGAGTAATTAGAATTCGGTAACAGCTATAACCACACAAAATTAGAATTCTCTAGCTATCATAGTTCCTGAGTTACACGGGAGTCTCTACTTTTGCGGAGTACTGTACTGTACATCTAAACCTAATGTTTGAAATATTTTCTATCTAATATTTGTTCTTTACATCCTCCAGAATTTTAACATCAATTATATAGCTTCTCTCAAACTTTTTCATTAAAATATTGAATATATTCACCATTCACACAAGTTACCCACTATCATGCTTGTAAGAAAGAGTTAAAACTTTGAGATATATAGTTAAATTCAAAATAATATCATCTTGCACTGTAGATCGAGCAAACAAGAATCGTGATTATATGCTACACATTCATATCAAACGTGCAGAAGAAAAATATATTGACACTTTCATAGATTTATTTCTCAGTATTATACTGTATGAGATCTAACAAATTCTTAATTGTTGTCTTTAACTGTCATCGTTGGATACAATTTGTCTTTGAGAAATACAAAATATGCTAACTTTAAACTTGATGAAACAAAACAAGTTCATACTTTTTGATCATAATATATTACTAATAAAGAAAGCGAAGGTTTCGCTAGGCTTCTGTCTGCTGTCAATAAAAAATATCACATAATCCCAATTTGGATTAAATTACCATGCTATATATATTCTATTTTTCTAAAATGTTAATTTCTTTTTTAATATTCGCCTATTAATCTGTCATAATTTTTAAATGCTTATGTACATCAATTTTTAATATAATAAGAAAATAACGCAAAACAATAGTAAATTGTTTGACTAAAACATTAGATTAGTGACATTTAGTAAATATGTTAGTAATTAAGTTATATATACAAGATGGATTCTCTAATAGTAAAGAAATTCTCTCAACGTGAATTAAATTTATGGTATGATTCTTTTTTAGAGAAAAAAAATCAATTAAAAAATGATGTGTTATATATAGTAGCAAAATAGAAAAATGTTTGACATTAGAAAACTTACAAAGTTAGTTTAAAAACTTTTTTAATTTTTGATTTATCTCTTGATTTCGTTTATTCATATTGTCAACATAATGGGTTGTTGATTTTGTACGATTTCGATTCTGAACAAGTAATTGAGTTAGACTGTATTTTCGTAGTAAAAAATCGGGAAAATAAGTTTGATTTTGTATCGATTTGTCTGTCTGTCTCTGACGATGCGATTGTTGTTGTTGCTGTTGTGGCTGTTTTATTGTAACATGGTTCGTTGATAATTTACGAACTTCTGATGTTTGAATTTGTGGAAATTCTGGCAATAGTGAAAATGTCGTTTTTTGTTTTTCTAATACATCTATGTTAGTTGGATTATTTGAACACGATGTTACAACTGATGGCAATGTGCTAAAACTTGTTACAGATTCTGTTTCTTCGAATTCTCTGACAGGAAGTAATACTGATTGTTGACGATGTGATTGTGAACGTATAATTTTAGATGAATTGTATGACGAGGTCATCGTAGTAATATCCGATGAAGCTTTTCTCACTTGACTTTGTCGTGGATTTGTCGCTATCTTATACATGTCTAAATTTAGACGAAGTAATTCTCGTTCTACCCATCGTTCATCATTTCGTAATCGCTGCAATTCTAATCTAAAAATGAATGTAAAAAAAATTTTATTCTAATAAATGTACATTGTATACAGTTAGAATCACTTGATGATGATCATTTCTATATTATCTAGTGATTCTTCTCAAATTTTTCTTAGGAAATTAAAATCTGTTAACATAATTGTTAATAGGTAAAGAGCATAATTTTTTGAAGAAATGAATCCTAGAAGTTGTTATCTACACTTCTTGAAGTAGGTACCTGCATTGTGAATTTAATCCTCTTGGTCCACTAATATTTTCTTTTAATCGTCGTTCAAAAACTTTGTTTGTCTTATGTCGTTCCATATCAGAACGTATAACTGCTTGCATTGTTGGTATTGGTCGATCAATTCGATCTTTCAATTTCATAATATCTTCATAATGTTTTCCACGTTTAATAATATTATTGAATAAAATTTTTTGATATGGTTGATAATGATATTTATCTCTTGGCGTTGTCACTGTTCCAGATGAACTCATAGTTTTCTTTTTATGTTTGAAATTAAACAAAAAATTGTCTGAAAATGATAAAATAGAATAAAAATTGAAATTGACTTTAAGGTTTCATACTGAAATATATATTTTCAACTCTTTATTTTTACACTTGACTTTTTTTTATAAAATTCTATTTTTTTTAATTATCTACTTTTTAGATTACAACTAAACAAAAACTAATTACATTTGAAGGAAACTAAAAGTTGTACACTGAGAACGATTATTTTTGCTATTTTTAAATAAAAAGAACATGTCTGTAGAGAACATCGGATACTATTAATATATAACTGAAAAGTATTGAAGATAAATACTACATTTTTTTTTTACAGAAATTATTTTTTCATACCTTCATAAAAAAATGACATGAAAAAATGTGTATGTTTTTTTTATTAGAAAATTAAAAAAAAAACATAATGCAATCGTATTTGTTTTTATGAAAAGAAATACCAATTGACAATTCATCTGAAGAAGGCTCACACATCATGAAAAAGTTTAGAAAAAATTAGAGTAGCAGTAAATCGATTTTCTCTTTTTTTTCTAGATCAAAACATTCATGTCAATATATTAGTTATTAGAATTGGCTGAAAATATAGTCGAAATAAGAAAGGAAACTAACTCATAACTGGAAAATGCATGATAGATCCTTAAGCATTTTTAGACTCGTAAACAGATTGTGGAACTGTGATGAGCTTCCAACACTAATATTATCTATAGAATTGACTCTGAGAGATTACTTACTATGATATTGGTTAAGATTGTATAAGCATCTTTCTGAATCTCCTGAGGTCTATCAACAAACCTGGACTGCGTATCAGATTGTTACTCAGCCAATGAGGGAATGGTATAGAGCGAGTGGTTTCCGCAAAAACAGTAAGTTTCCTCGGAGGCTTGCAGACAGAGAACACCACACAAATATAGATGTTCTGAACTTCATACATATTCAAAAACAGCAATATAGCGTTTATAAAAAAACATCAACACTAGTTCAATTTTTTGTATACAAATACTTCAACCCACCACCTTAAATATGTTTTTAATGTGTGTATTTGTTAAACATAGAAGTTTTTGATTTCTGTTTAGTTTTTATATCACTCGACTTGTTGATTTGTGCATAATTTAGAATAAAATTGAATTACTTATTGCTTAATCCTTCCACCTCTCCTTTTTCCTTTTTATACGTCTTCTACTAATGTGATCTACTTGTGTTGTGTGTATTTTACATGAATCTTTTTTTGTTAACCTTTTTCAAGGAACAAGTAAACTATCGTATTGTTAAAAAGAAAAAGATCCTTAAAGATTTAAGGTCCCTCCCCTCCCCTGAGAAATGATGATTTTCGGTCAAAAAATCGGTTTTGAGATACGCACATGGAAAGCTAGCCTGAAGTGTCTATTTTCAAAATCTCCATCGCTTTTGGTTATAAAAGTGATTTTTCGCGGATTCTGAGCCAGTTTTCTAGGAGCCTCGAAAACTTCAAATAATAGTGTTTTCCTGGTTACTTATGCAATTAAAATTTTTCCAAACACACAGATTTGTAGAGCAAACGTTTCTGATCAAAATAAGACCTCGCACAACTCTGTATGACCTTGTATTAAAAAGTTACCGACATTTTCCTGGAAGTCCTAAAACTGCGTATTTTATACAGCGTTTTCTCTACATGGAAGTTATACCTGAAGTGTTTCGCAAGATTTTTAATAGCGGTTTGTCGTAGAGAGTTTATTCTTTTTCTGTTTAAAAGGGGAAAAGCTGCTTCATGAACTGACCGACGCCGATTTTTGAATTAGGTCTTAGTTTTTTGGCCAATTGAGGATTTTTAGAAAATTCAGAAGGCTTTTTCTGTTTTTGGAGTTTGTTGGTTGCCTGGAAAACCAACAAAGGCTTAATTGAAAAATCGGCGCTGGTCAGTCCATGTAGTTTGGTCACCCTTAATAGCGATCAGATCAATATAGTACGTTGTTCAAAATTGTATCACAGTTTTTTCTTATCACGCAAACGTTTTGAGACATTTTCTAAGACTACATTAATTTTTTTATTCAAAAGTTGTCGCGTTATCCTCTATTTTTGCGTAGAATCAAAATCAATCTAAATCTGTATTTGGCCTGATAGTAAGGTGCAGGTAATGCAAAATTTCAGTGGAATTTGTTTCTGGCATTATTATACATATTCAGATTCAGCTTAACAAGCTGATTACGAATAACACCTTCTTTAGAAAAAGGTTTTCAGCTCATTTCAGAGGTATACCTCTGAAATGAGCTGAAAACCTTTTTCTAAATCAGTTTTCAATGCTGATTTAGAAAAATACAGCTCGAACCTTCCATCTTGCAATACAAGCTCAAAAAGTCAATTCCACCATAGAGGACGGTTTTTTGTATTTTTGAGGTCCTCTTAGTAATTTGAGTTTTTCTCCATGAAGAAATGGCTTCTGAAGGCTCGGAAGGTGTTATCAGCTTGTTAAGCTGAATCTGAATATGTAATAATGCCACAAACAAATTCCACTGAAATTTTGCATTACCTGCACCTTACAGTTTTGATGTATCACTAATTTAAGCAATACGTCAAGAATCGATAGTCCTATCAGAAAACATTTACATTTCTTCTAAATAATTTAATGAAATTTTTCTAATGTATTTCAGAATAAACCAATCAAGAATTTTGACTTCCCTTGAGATATTGTTGCCTTTCTTGGAAAGTGCTCAGAAACGTCGTTCTCGATTTTCAGAGAAACTTATGGATACCACTCTCCTCATTTTGCGCTTTCTGTAGAAATGCTGCGAAATAAAAACTAAAACTCACTAATGCTGCATATTTTCATAACTGATCGGAAACTTAATGGAGCACTTTTTCGTTTTTGTTTCAAGTTTCTGACTATTGCCATTCACCAGTTTTCAAGAAAACTCGATTTTTCATTGTGTCACATTACGACTCTCCTTAAATTTGATCCGATCGAGTTAAACATTTAACCTTGAATGACGGCCTTCCAAATAATTAACATCTGACCTTTATATAAGTTATGACAAACATTCTCAGCCTGATAACTACTTAAATTCACTCAAACATTGTGAGTATTACTCAGATTCTCTCTAGGAAGAACAATTATTAGTCAACTAACTACTTAATTGTATACCTTTTCCAAATCAATGGAAAGTAAATCCCTATATATAAGACTGCTTAATTAGTATACATATTTTATCTAATTATCGGAAGGTAAATCCATTCTAGCAAAAAAAGCATCTCCTTTTCTGTAGGAAAAAATTAATTAAAATAAAAATTAATCATCGGAAAGTAAATCCTGTAAATCACAAGAATAATATTCGATCATTGTTCGGAAAAAGATTATTACAAAATCAATTTAAGTACACTTTTGACGAGTTGTACGTTACGTTTATTGGTTTAGAATTTAAACAATGTGTTGTTGTGCGAGAAAGCGAGACGATTACTCATTTCAATCAAAGTTTTATACAGATGTGACCAATATTGAAACAACTTAAAATAATCTAAATTATAATATCATTATGGGAACCATTATGGGTTATAATGTCTTCCGGCTTAGAGTTATTTTTAAAGTGACACATATCCGTGACACTACTTCCGAAGTAGAGGAAGTTTACTAGATTCAAAATTCATCACGTGAAACATTTATGATAAAAGTTTCAGATAGATATGCAGAAGTTCTGAGAAGTTTACATCCGATACTATATGCATCGTATTGAATAAATTAAAATAACTCAAGTAAAATTCCGTGTTCATTTTAGTATTTTAAATCGAACGACCGAAAAAAGCAATAGATTCTTACATTTAACTGATCGACTATTTCGATGTGATATTTACGATCGAAAGCAAAAAATTTCTTTGACGAAACTGAACGACGATTACTAAAACTTAGTCAAAACCGAGACAGAACAATTAATTCTGTTTGTGTAAAACCACGAGAATTATGCAACACATAAACAATAAAATAATCCACATTAAATATAAGCAAATAATATACTGTTCTGTATGCTAATCCCAAATAATTCAATAGGTGTAATATTATGTGATAATTTTGATGGATAAAATGATGAAAAAATAACCCCCCTATGATGATTTGTAAA